TGCCAGTCAAATGCTTTAGGCACTGCATCACCAGAGCTCCTTACACATAACTGTGCTAAAGTGTAATTTATAAATTAGGCCCAGAAGAGGTTAATGACTAACAGGGTAGTGAATACAGCCTGGTTATGCAAGCCAAAGGGACGATTCCCATCCCAAGTGGGATGAAGTGGGACAGGGAGAGATCTCATCACTACTTGTCTTACACTTTCCAACTGTGGTTGCCCATGGGTCACTGAAACTATGGAAATGAATCCACAGAGGGGGATGGGCAACTGTATTCTGTGGGAAGGGCAAAGAGAGAGGGTGGGGCTTATGTACACAGGAGGCAGGGAGCCATGCAGTGAGGGGCAGGGATAAGTGAAGTGAAGTTCAAGGAAGCCCAGCAAAGTATGGGAGCAGAGGACCTGGGAAGGGGGTCTCCTGATTGGTGAGGGTGGGTGAAGGGGGTGGGCAGGGCAAGTTCCTCCATGGCTGGAGTTCTTCAGCCCCCACCTGGTGAGGGCCCCTGGCAGCACCTGGCCTCGTCACCTCCTGGGTGAAGGTCTGTGCTATTCCTGAGCTCTGTTGCTCAGCTCTGGTACTCCAGGCTATGGGGTAGCAGAGGGCCAACACCACCTTGAGCCTGGCCCTCTGACACGCCCCTGCCCTGCAGATGTGGACGAGTGTGAGACTGGGGACGTGTGTGACAATGGCATCTGTACCAACACGATAGGCTCCTTCCAGTGTCAGTGCCTCTCTGGCTACCACCTGTCAAGGGACCGGAGCCGCTGTGAGGGTGAGGCCTGGGAGGGGGATTGTCCTTTCCTCTCTCCCCAGCACTTGTGCTGCCCAAGCCCTGAGCCCAGGGGTGACCTTAGATAACCCAGGCACTCCAGGCCCAGCCCCCACGGAGATGGGGCATGGGAGTGTGAGACCCTGGGCTCTGGGAACCCCTTGGCAGTTTCAGGCTGTGTGTGTGTGTTTGGGGTAGTCAACCCCTGAGAATGTCTACCCCCTCAATCCCCTCACCAGACATTGATGAGTGTGACTTCCCCGCAACCTGCATTGGAGGTGACTGCATCAACACCAATGGCTCCTACCGATGTCTCTGCCCCCAGGGGCACCGGCTGGTGGGCGGCAGGAAGTGCCAAGGTATGGGGGGGAGTGGCTGGAGGGCTCGGGGGAGTGCAGCAGAGAGCGGTGAACCCCCAGGCACACTGCTGGTGTGGCCTGTCATTCCACTCATACATCCCATTATGTGTCTTTCCACTCTCTCACCTGGAATAGTAATGAAAACAGGATACTGTTAACTGTAAGTTCATGCTTCCTTGGTGTCTGCTGTGTGCCAGGCACTGCACTGAGCTCTTTACAGATACTGAGTCACTGGTCTGCCCCATCAGCTGGCCCACACATGCATCCATCCAACAAGATTACTGAGCACCATGCTGTGTACAGGGTCTGGACAATGATCAGGGCTCCCAGCTGGGAAAGGGCAAGATATTAACTGATTCTCACAGTTCACGGTGCTGGGTGCCAAGAGGGCAGGACTAGGATTACCGTATTTTTCTGCACATAACATGCAACTCCTTCACTCATTGGTCTCCTGTGCACACTGTGCGTGTTACATGCTGGTGCACAGTTAAAAAACAAACAAACAAAAAACAGTCACCAGTCATTGCAAAGGAGAGGGGATAATTGGATTCGTGGGACTTGAAGGGGTTCCCTAAGCAGAAAAGTGCATGGAGTGGCGTCTGAAAGACAAACAGTTGTGTCTTGAGGGGACAGTAGGCACCTGTGCTAGGACATTGTCAGTGGGGCCACAGAAGATTTAAAGGAGAACAACCACAATGAATCTGCATACATCTACACACATGCAGAGACACACACAAGTGGACTTCTTCTTGTGTGTACTTTGGAATCAAGAGTGGAAATTTGGGTTCTGAACTTGTGGGAGGCCCAGGGACAGAGAAGCTGGGTTCCCTCATCAGTGGCTTGTGCACCCTGCTTCCTGCTCCCCACAGACATAGATGAGTGCAGCCAGGACCCAGGCCTGTGCCTTCCCCATGGGGCCTGCGAGAACCTGCAGGGCTCCTATGTGTGTGTCTGTGACGACGGCTTCACACCCACCCAGGACCAGCACAGCTGTGAGGGTGAGTGCTCTCCAGGTCCCTCCCCACACCAGATGGCTCCCCTGTATATAGTGTGTGTGTGTGTGTGTGTGTGTGAGTGTGTGAGTGTTGGGGGGTCACATGGATCATACCTGGTCCCATCCCTCCCCAGTCTGAGGAGGAACTGGAAATTATTTTTGCTTGGGGGGGAGTCGGGTGGGGCCAGACGTCCAAGGGTCTTGACTGCCACGTTGAGGAAGCTGGCTATCACAGGGCAGCTGAGGGGAGCCCCGGAAATGGGAGG